GACGCGTCTGCCTCCGCGACCCGAAAGGAGAAGCGGCGATGGAAGATGAAGATGAAGATGAAGATAATATGGCACAACATCAGGACTTTTGAAAACAGTGATGCTCACCCATATACCCATATGAGCTCAGAATTGCAGAAATCAGTTACAATGCAATTAAACAGAAACCTTGTTCGTTCAGAAGCTATTCCTTTTGAAATTTTGAAGCGGTGTCAATGAGTGCTAATGCCGCAGCACAAAGCAGTGGATTAGGATATGAAAATCTTTAAATATTGTCCAATAAGTGAACGTTTCATTTTCGTTGTAGAATTGATCAATGAAAGGACTACGTGTGTCATAGCAATCAAGCAATGAATATTCTGTGGCTTTCAAGGTACTTTCCTGTTGGTGGTGCACTCAGTCAGACTGATGCATCTGCGATATTGCGGCTTGATGGCGTTCTCAAAAACAGGAATGACAGGACAAGGACGACGGTATGTTTCGGAAACGAACCGCAGGTTAAGATATCTGGTACATAACACAGCTACAAACGTTCCCTAACGCTAAAAAATCAAAATTTAAAAGCCGGATTAACAATGGGGTGAAGCGGCATGGACTAAATTGAACAGTCGTAAGATCATATTTATATGATCTCTATTGATGGTTCCAGCCAGTTTAAATTAAACAACAGAAATTTCGTTACTTTCAGCACTTTCAAGAGTATGCTAACTAACTGAGCCATCGAGAGGCTGTCTTGTGTTGCTCACGTCGGTACTTCTCACCATGGAGAGATCGTCGTTTCAGTAAAATGGCTAAATCGATCACAGCACTGGCTTCAATGCATGAGGAGACCAAATGGCATTACAGAGCAAGGAGGGACTCTGTACTCTCACAGGGAAGTGTGCCTCGATGATAGTGGAGATTACGCAAAAATGGTTGGGTTGTCTCTACTAGACAAACGGGTCAAACTCATTCTTCATTGCCGTCCGCGAGTTTGTTACTTTGAAACCGTTAAACAGCAAACTTCCACCAGGAAAACCAATATTCGACAAGGAAATCAGGATAAAGGCAGATCTGCTTTAGGAGAGGAATTATTTGCTCCATGATACCATAAACAGAAAGGCAATGAAAGATAAAGATTCAGTCGAGGGGGTGAGAGACTGAAGACTTTCTGTATTACTATACATTATAGTTCGAGATGACGGTCACCGTAAGAAATAGGCTGAATAGTTCCGGGTGCTTTAACAAATTGTCCTTGTCTAGACAATTAAGGCGGTATGTCACGAATACTTTCTGTCGTCATACTTGACTTGAACTGTGGGGTGGGGTGAGGGAGAGATGGTGGCGCACAGAGATACGAGGTCATTTTTGAACTCCTACTGCGTCACGTTCAAATTTCAAAAAAAATGCAAATTCCCTTTAGCAAGAAATTCACCACATGTTCTATCGACGTAATCAGCGTGAGAAATGACTAACAACTCGGTGGCTTGCAAGCGAGAGGGACCGCTGATGTGATAATACGAAAATGAGATAGGGCAATTTGATAATTAGAGCCAAAATGTTAATGAGACAAATACCGAGCAGTCTGAACTAAACAGTGCTGTTTCCATTGTCACAGTTTGAAGCGCTCTGCGATCGCAGTCACATTTGCTATAATAAGTTTGACCGCTCATATTTCTCTAGTGACCTAAAAGTCATCCGGTCATAAACTAGATTCGGACACTGACAAGAGTTTTGGCTGGAATTTGGCCTGACATTAACGTTCAACGTTATGGAGCTGAAAACGCGGCACGTAGTTCTTGTTTGCCTGCTTTCGGCAATATTTTCTTCAGAAAGTAAGTTTTATAAATTAATCCATTTACGGTTTTTGCTGTCTTCAGGTAGTAAGCTAAATTAATCCTTTTCAGTTTCTGATATCGGATTGAAGCGGTCCCTTTGCTTCTAGTGGCCTAAGAGACCATTTAAGCAGGCCACAGCTCTATGGAATTTGAGGACCTGCTCTGCATGGATGCAAAACTGTATCATTAGTGAGGGCCGAACAAGGGTCTGCTAGGGCACCTGTGTATATACCACCATCTGTAAGCATATTTATACAGAAAAATAGAACCTGATTTTTAGGATTTACTAGCATCTTGCCAGTTACTGATACCGCCGCAAAGATATATAATCCTTTTCAGTTCCTGATATCGGAACTTAGTGATGCGCTTTCGCATCCATAAACCGCAGATATTCAAACCGCTTTGGATCCGTGGTCTGCTCAAATGGTCGCCTAAGGACTAGAGGCAAAGGGAAGGTGCTTATGCCACTTTAATTCGATATCATAAGCTAAATAAACTAAATTAATTACAGATTTTATTCTCTTCTGCCTTCAATGCCGCGCTGCATATCCTCCTCAGAAAATCACGCCGTTTGACGTCGTACCTGTATCAGGTAGTGATACTGTATGAAGTAGAGAAAATGAGAAAATCGGTCATGCGTAGTATAGAAACGGACAATTTACTACGAGAGGCTGAAATTAATATCAGTGCTAATAACTAAGCAAATTTACAAAAGTGAGTGAAGATAGAACAACTAAGAAATATGGACTATTTCTGTTCTTTCGATTGACCATAGAAGATAACGATCAGTCAGATCAACGCTCAGATCTGAGCAGCTTGGCACATGATATTACTTACGCTATGTGAGGGTGATGTACAACAATATACAATCTTCTGGATCAGCCGGAAATCAGCGTCAATTCCTGCCTGCCCGCAATATTCCCGCCAGTCCTCGCGGCTTCGACTCTTCTCCTTCCATCTGGGCCTTCCCAGCTCCTGGTAATAACTGTGCAACCATCGTGGTGAGCGACCAAGTCCGCCCTCGAGAGTACCAGTCAGTCATAATCGCTGGTTCTCTCTTTTCAATGACCAGAGTTGCGGTCTGGTTTACAACAGTTCTCGTTTCTGCTTTCGGCGACGAAATCCCTCACTCCCATTCCCCCTCTGATTACCGCATCTAAGACGATGTAACGACGCGAGATTCCCATGGCGCTCTTGGTGACGGAGAGCTGATACTATTCGGATTCACTGACTGACCACGTCTCGCAGCTCTACAACATTGCCCAGAGGCGGCCGCGGGTTTCTTTCGTAGTGTTGCCGAGGAGAGCGTCGTCGAAGGAAGGGAATACGTGCCAACCGGTCCTCTTTCTCTGTTGAATCTCTCCAGCCTGATCATGGCCTCTATTCATTTTTTGGCCAAGGTAAATATATTTATCAAACTCTTTGATCATTCCGCCGTTTAATATTACCTGGGAGTTCGGCAGGGCATCGCATCGCAACATCTTTAACTTTGACGGATCAATTCGCGGTCTGACATCCGCACTTTTTCTCGAGCTCTTGTAGCATGTCTCGTAGCTGACTAGGGCTTTTCGCAAGCACACCAGCTGCTCAACGAATCTTAGGCGGCTCAGCTGTTTACAATTAGTGTTAATCCCCCCTCCCCCAATGTGTCTTCCGGAACATCACTTCCAAACAAGCAGCGAAGAGTTTGGTAAAGACAGTGTCATCTTGTTTCTCACGCTTCTATATGGGATTCAGGAAGGGGCATCGAACAGCGTGATGAGAAGCACTCAGAGCTCGTTTCCTTTAGCAGATTTATGAAACAGGTGTCGATGCCCTGCTTTGCAAGTGTAATCAACACTGCCTCATGCTTAATAGTGTTGAACGGTTTCTCGTAGTCGACGAAGGCTCTGCAAAATTGGAGCTGGAATTACCTTACTCGCTTGAGGAGTTAATATAAGGTGGGGACGTTATCCTGTGAACTGTGGCTCATTCAGATTGCTGTTAGTCGAGACTTGTTGACAGTCTGTTAGTGATTATTTTAGTGAACAGCTAACAGACTTATGAGAGCATTCTGATTTGGTAGTAGTTCTTCAGATTGTCCTTGTGGATGCCGTATTTTCAGATGTCATTTATTTTCTTTCCGCCGCGGTGTCTCGCGGGAGCCAAGCATGTCGCTGGCCATCCGTGACTTTTCCTCCATCAGTTAGTTCAACGTTTCTTCCCTCACCAGTGTTCTTCAGTCTTGGCTACAAACGGCGAGGGAATTCCTAATCCGTTTACTACATAGCGGCCGTTCATTTGTGATTCTTAGCAGCCTCTTGTCAGTCGAATGGCGAAAAGTCGCCGCGGAACGGGTTGAGAGATGCGCAGGGTACTGAGACCCATTTATTCGTTTTTCAAAGTGCATGAAGTTTACTTCCCGATGGCAGGGCTGACAGTGGTCTGGGAAATTTCGCACAGACAAGTCCCCTTGTTCAGTCTTCTATCTTTTGACGAATCGACGTCTAACCGCAAGGCAGCAGTGACGTTAGGGGTTTTTCTTCTGAGGGCTGGTCCCTTTCGCCTGGACATGAGACTTGTCATTGGGCATTGTGATTTTTTCTCTCAGAGTCGAACTTGTCGAGGGCATGTCTTGGTGGT